AAAGTTGAACTTTACTTGTTCATAATTTTCTAAAATTCTGAATTCTAGGGGTGAATGTGGGGGTGAGGGTGAGGATGAGTGTGAATAAGCAACTTTACATGTATGTAAAGTTCATAATTCTAGAATTTCGCGTGAAAACGAAACATATTGGGCGCATGAGGGTAGAGGCAAAAACGGAGCATTTTTTACGGTGAACTTTTTGCTGGATTAAGAACTTTTTTGAAGAAAACTAAAACGATTAATGGGTTGGAGTTTCTGAGCTATTGTTTAAAGAAAAATCAATAAAAATACTTTATGGTAGTTTCGCGCGTAAAAAGTGGGCATTTGACATCTGATAATGCATGGTGAATGTGAAGGTTGGTGACAGTGAGTGGTGGTGGCGGTAGTGAGTGATGATGGTGGCAGGGAGTGGTGGTAGGCGTAATAGGCTCAATAGGCTCAAGGGGTGTGTCGGTAAACATTTGCCGCCAAGCTGGTTGAAACGTGTGGCAAAACGGTTTAAAGATGGCGTGTAGGAAAAATGTATTAGCAGGTCAGTATCCCAGTTAATGGACACCGTTATTTGATCGACGGGTCTTGCTTTCTCCAGTCTATCTGCCGTAGGTGAGTCCGAATAGGGTGGTATTTGTGAAAAAGCTCGTCCTTAGAGGAGAATTTTAAGTCGTTGAGGAGACGCTGGAGTTGCTGATCTGTAAATACCGGTGGGTTGAGGAGTAGTCGCGTGCGTATTCATGTGAATTCCCCCTGACACTCCTCCTGGTCCGAACATATCCTGATGGCACGAATGAATGAAGCCACAGGTATATTTCGCTTGACATGCATTGGGTGTGAGCTGTCAAATGGTAGTAAGTATGGTTGGACTACCGGTTTGCGGTAGATCTCAGTAAGAAAACATAATATAGAGTTGCAGCTTTTATGGTAGTTTGAAGAGAACCTAATAAGCAATAGAAAAAAAAAATTTTTAGATCGGCCCCAAAATCGAAAGTTATGAGCATAAGACTGGAAAAACTCAACGGTACAAAAAGTTGCACTTGACTCATACAAGAGATGAAAGAAAAACTATGGTCGGTTCGCCACAGTCATATGAGTATATACCAGTGTACATTTTCTTCTCTATATGATTGTTCTATATATTTTCATACACAATTTTCTCCAACGAAGCCAGAATCATCTGCATGATCCTAAAAGTCCCCATTCTGGCAGATGTGATGAGGACTGGTAGATCGTTAGTGACGACAATAGTCTTGTAATGAGACAACAACTTATTGTATAAGAGAAATTAACGAAATAATATAACACAGATCGCGGCTAAAAGCAAACTGTGGAAATCAAAGGTGCAAACGTATGTCCCCAGTTGATTCGACTATTTTTATCGTTACTTTTCCTATGACTCTTGAAGAAAATGGATCGCTTTCTGTATAACATGGCACAGAGAACTAATAAACATAACTAAGTGTAGCCAAAAGTCAAATGAACATGTAATCACAAGGAGCTTCTCCTATGATTTATACCAGTTCTGATAGTCGATTTTAAGCAGTGGCGACCAATAACCTAAGAGGAGGAGAGAATTTCTGCAAAAAAAAAGCTTAAAACATTTTTGCTGTTATGTCCGCTTCAGAACGAAAAAATATCATTAAAAACATTATTCTTTTGTCGCTGAATCTGAACTGGTGTTAGAAATTAAAAGAAGACAAGTTTATTTTTTATTTTTTCTCTCTATCACTGTATTAACTATTGAAAAATGAAACAAAACGAAAACACACACAAAATCCTAGATTCTACGAAAGCTTTGACTTTTAGTTTACTTTTCTACCAGTTCTTAGTCATTTAATTTATTGATAAATGGTGTTTCTGCAAGGGGGAAAGCACGGAATCCTAGAATCCTGAATTCTCCTCGATTCTAAGCATTCCCTATGATTCTATAGGATTCCAAGAAATCCCAAGGATTCTTTCGGATTCTACAAGATTCTCTTGGAATCCATAAGATTCCCTTGGATCCCATAGGACTCTTTCCCAAAACAGAACAAAATGCTCTGTTTTTGAGAAATGTTTTCCAAACTACGGAACACTTTTGTTCTGCTGTGGGAGAAGTGCGGAATGGATTCTGTGAGATTCCATGGGATTCCAGGATTCCGTGCTTTCCCCCTTGCCTATCGTTATTGAGAATTTCCGTGCGTGGCGAAAGTCCTGAAGCTAAAAGCAGTCTTGACAAAAACTAAGTTTGATTCTGTTAAATGCGTTTTACTTAAAGACTATTTAAACCTTAAATAATTTGTTGATATTTTGCTGTAGGGTATCGGTCATCGGATCTAATGAACATGGGCGGCACATGCGTGCGCTTATGTAATGCAACTACAAAAAAGCCATTGTTTTGTTCTAAGGGCTCTGAAAATCTAGGTCAAAAACTATGAAAAGCCCATCCTATCGACACAAAAATCATGCCATTAGAAAGTAGACACCTTGGGCCATCCAACCATGTACTTTTCTCAAAAATTTTGGACGAAAATCGGCATTTCTGACCCGGGGAGGGGAGCCTTAAGTAGACCGAGTAAGGCGCCAAAAAGCCTTCACATGAAAAACAATTTTCTTCTCAGAACATGCTCATCGTATTTTTTATTATCAGAAACTTATAAATCAAAAATCGTAGCCTCCAAAACTTTTTACTTTCGGGATTATGAATTTTTTAAGTGAAGGATGTTACCGAGTTGCTGCAAAAACAGCTTACGGCAATAATTTCAGTGTTTTGACTTCAAATTTTGTTCTTTCTTTCCAAAAAAATTTCTACTAGTAGTTTCATTTCAAAGGGCACTTAAAACAGAAGGCATCGACATAGTTTGACGTTTCAAAATTAAGACTGACAAATTGAAAAATGTTAAAACTGAAACTTTGCAAGTCAAGATTCATTTTCTCGGTCAGATTTCATAACACCAGGATTTCTTTATGGCATCTTATAGAGCAAACATTTTGCTACAAAATATACTCTAAAACTTTTTCCAAAACCTTCAGCAACAATACGATTATCTGGATCCCTGTCAAGTTCTATTAAAAAACAGCAAATAATCTGAAAAAGAAAAGGTTCGAAGTCAGTTGTACTAACAGGAATTCGATTCAAAAGAGAATTTTGACACGTTATAGAACAATCGAAAAACGAAATTAGTCTTTAATATTGTCAAAAAAACAACTCACATCTTACCCAAATTACCTTTTCAAGTGACGGACTTTTACTTAACAGTGTACTATTAGTCATTCCACTTTTCGTGACAAAGCTTGAACTTGAACGTGTTAGGAAACGTAGAAAATCTCATTCTCTGACGTAATGTTCTCATTCTCTGATGTAAATATCTTTGTTAATAAAATATGAAAACATAATTCATTGTTGACACTGACACAAAGAAGGATACAAGTTACGTATAAAACGCTACGTAACAAAAGTTTATTTTATGCCCAAGAAAAACATCTCGTAGCAGAGGAAAGCACAAAAAAGCCAAAGGCTTGTAAATAAAGTGCCACCACGCGGAAAAGAGAACAACCGCGAAAAGAGAGTATAGAAGAAAAAAACAACACACTTATAAGGATAGGTGAGCGCGTAACGCTCGTTTGAAAGTAGGAATTGTTTGACAAGATACAACAGTATGTGGCAGGGAATTCCAATCAACAGCAGTACGGTAGAAAAAAGAAGAAGCTACGTGTTCTTTCGATACTGTTGGTGTCTCAACCTGCATACTATTCAAACGGTCTGATCTTTTGTCTGCTAATAGTTTTTTAAAGGGTAGATCGAAAACGCAGAGAGGTGAGAGAAAATTTTTTGACTATTAACTTAATAGGATATCCAAGAGAATAGTATTTCTTGTTTTATTTTCAATGTCAAAATAATCATTATTGTTCTTCTTTTTACATAAATCAACAAATCCATATATAATCGATGATGCTGATTCCGAATATCATAGTTATTGGGATGCTAGAGCTTTTAGACCAGGTTTTCTAAAAAAACCAGTTCCTAAAGCAAAAAGGACGGTAGAAATGCATTCATAGTTTATAATAGAGATACATTCGTACAATAGATATAAGTAACAATAAATGGAATAACATGATGTTCAGGTTAAAAATAATTATGTGAAAGTCTTCTCGCTAGTAAAATTCTTCTTTGTTGTGCGCATATGTTCGCACATGTGCCACAGTTATTTTTGCACATGCACTTGGCTATAGACAGTATCCGACCTCGATTACTTATGCTCCAAATGTGGACTCTTGATCTACTTTCTAGACCAAGATATAAACAAAAAAGATGTTACTTTTATACAGTTATCGTTTCAACCTGTTTTAAGGGCTTTTACAAAAAAGTCCATAACTTTTGAAATAAGTAAGTCTAAGTTAAAAGGTTTGGAAAATCTTCGTAAGTATATCGCTGCTACCTACTGTGCTAATGTGAACAAAAACCTCAGGCACTGATTGAACAAATTAGCTCATCCCTAACGTGCAATTGCTCTCTCGTTCATAGTAACGCATTTTCATTTTGTTCACATTTCATGAAAGATTTTCTAACGATTTTATAGAAATCAATCAACTCGAATAGAAAATCACAAATTTTTCAAAAATCAATGGGGTTTTTTCATATTACATAAAACCCACATCAATTTTTGATCTAGAAATTAAAAGACTATTTTCTACTTTCTGGAAAATGCTGATTTTCTACTGCGATATAATATCGGTGACGATATTATAACTGTTTTAAAATCACACACAATTTTCTAGGTCGATGTTCCATAAAGTAGAAAATAACCTTTTACAGTGAAGACGAATAGAATAAATGCGTAGACGTCATTACTTACGTGCTCTCAATTTACACAAATCTGATGCATTGAAATAGTAATTATTCGTTTATTCTGTTAAATATGCTCAAAAGAAACTATAATTCTATTCAAGCTGCAAAACTTAACCCTTTTTGAACCTTTTTCACATTTTTCTCATTTGGAGCTAGAAAATTTTCATATTTCGTAGTAGGAGGAACTATTTGGAACTAAAAGGAAACACAAATGCATCTTTTTCCATTTCTAACTGATATTTTACGATCAAAAAAAGACAGCTATTATGATTTGCAATGTTCATTTCTTGAAACTTCGCAAACAGAGAGATAAAAGCACCAATTTTATTTTAATTGATTCATTCAACATCACATCATAACGCTATTATTCGTTTCTCATTTCTGTCAAATGTAATGATAGATAAACAAAATATAACGGAAAGATAAAGTAGTCTACAGATGAAGAAACAAATAATTGCTTGAAGAGCTAATATATTCTGTTAACAGAACGCAAAGTTATTACCCTTCTGTTAACAATATATATATATATAATTATGAAAATAAAAAAGATGTTTCTTTTCTTTCCAACACACATAGTAGCACACTATTCGAAACGGATCGATCACAAAAAGATTAACAGTGCTTCCACTAACTAACAATAATCTTATTGTATCAAATGTTTAAAAATGCTATACGACTATCGTTACTCTTCGTTCATTTTTTTATTATTCTCTGTTATTTAGTCGTTCTCGGTTACAGAAGTACTGGTGGTGATAGTGGAAATAAGGATGATGTTCTCTATGGTGAAATTGGATGGCATTATGTAATCAAAGTTATTTTATCTGTAACTATTATAATCAGTGTCGTCAAACAACTATCACGAATAGATTTTTGGCTTTTACTTGTTTGCGTAGCTACTACAACCATTTTTACACTGATACAAATCGGACGTCATACATATTTAACGGTAATGAGGGGTACGGAATATAAAACAGAATTGATTATTGTCGCTGTTATTGATTCGATTATTTTAATTGTCTTATGGTCTTATTTATGGCTAAGATTTAAGCAATTAAAGCGACAACACCAACAACACAATGACGCTATCGTTAGCGACGTTTCCTTACGAGTAGGAGAAAATCTTAGCCTTTTTTATGTAAAATAAGATGCTAGAACTAGAGACATAAAATTACAACAGGTTTTCTTTTTCCTTTATGTGAGTGCACCGTAATCAAAACTCTTATGTAGGTTGCTTCTTAAGAGTGAGTGTTTGATAAAGTGATGTAGGACTTACGAGGAATGATCCCCAACTGATAAATCGCTTTAGACATGAAAGGTGGTGGACCACAGGTAATCGATGGTCCTGAATCCGAATCTCACCTTGGTTTGTGCCGCTAGGCCTTGCAAGTATTGGTT